CCACAGAATGCTCCAGTACCTCTTTGACAACACCTGGCTGGACACGCTGACCAGGGCTGTGTTCGTGGAGTTCACCGTCTACAACGCCAACGTCAACCTGTTCTGCATCGTCACACTGACGCTTGAGACCAGCGCCCTGGGTGGGCAGGCTCTCCTGGGAACCCCCTCCCTGGCCACAGCTCCTGACCCAGCTGGGCCTATGGCCAGAGCACGGGGTGGTTGTTTGGGGCATTTGGAAGTGGGTCTTGGATCCCCCTACAGCTGTGCCTGCCTAGCCCCCAAGGGCAGGGCGTTAGGGCTGCTCCAGCCTTCCTGTGTCCTGAGTTAGCCTGGAGGAAGCCAGTCAGGGTCCTGTGCCTGAACTGTCCACTCTGCTGGGCTGGGGACAGGGAGCTGGCATGAGGGGTTGGGGAGAGAGTACCCAGGAAGAGGGTGTCAAAGCCACGCTTACAACTCATGCCACCTGGCTGGCCCCATTATTCTAATTCTCTTGTCCCACCTTTTTATGTTCTGTTCTGTCATGCTATGTTATGTTCCTATCTATTTTAAATTTGCCATAGAGTGTATATTATAGCTGGCCTCTGGCCCCTTATAAAATGCTAATCACAATCTACAAAAAAATACCAACCTGGACCAGCCAGGTGGCACAGTGGCTAAGGCATCTGGATCCCACATGGCCAAATCCTGGACTTGGTGGCTTGAAAAACATATCAGGTGCGTGTGGGTGAGTGCCCAAAATTCCAAGAGAAAAAAGTAAAAGGATGGGAACCAGCAGTTAGCGTAACGGCTATGTCGCTGGACTCCCACGTAGTTGACCGCGGTTCGTGTCCCGGACCTGGTGGCTTAAAACTCACGCCGGGCGCATGTGCGTGCGTGCCCAAGATCCCGAGAGGAGAATGGAGGAGAAGGGATTGCGGCGTGACCATCCCCCCTGGGGGGTGATTTCTCGCTTTCTGTCTCTATGTCTCTCTCTGTCTATCTGGCGAGCGCACGCGCCCTACAGTGAAAATCTCTCCAAAAAAAAAAAAAAGAAAAAAAAGTAAAAGGATTATGGCATGGCCATCCCAACTAGGGGCACTTTCTCTCCCTCTCTCTCTCTGTATTTCTCCAGTGAGGACAGATGCCTTATAGCAAATTAAAAACAAAAAGAACAACAACAACAGAAAACAAACAAACAAAAAACGGCCTAAAGCTTAAATCTTAACAGCCTCTCCACTGAAAGAAAAACTCGGATGTTGTAAAGTAAAAAGTAAGACTTTCAATTTGCATTATCATGGCCTGATGTCAATAGTTTCTTTCAAATCCTTGTTTAGGGGTTATTCATCTTTTGATGTCTTCTTTCTTTTTGTGACATTGTTTACCTTTTCTGTTTGTTTTTGTTGATCATAGAGCATGTGCTTAATGAGAGAGGGAAGGAGAGAGAGAAGGGAAAAAAAATCCTCCACAGGGCCTACTCTCGCCACAATCCACAACCCCCCTCCTCCAGCTTGCCAGGACTCAGGGCACGTGTGTTTCTGGCCAACTGAGCCAGAGGACTTGAACCAGGATCAACATGTGGACTGCATCACAGAGTCTGGGTCCTTTTTGGCTTTTTAAGGGCCCTTAAAACATTGTCCCAAACCACGTGTGATTGAACTATGTGTTCTACAGATGAAAAGTATGGCAGAGGCCTCAGGTTCAGCTGAGTCGGTGAATCACCGAGGTCACTGAGGGCTCACATTACTTATGTCTGTTCAGTTCCTGCCATCCTTGGGGCTGATTTTCTCTCTGTAGAAAGAAAAAGAAGGAAAACCCACTCAAAATTAGCCTTTAAGCCTACTGACCACTAGATGAATTATTCTTCCATGAAATGTCTTTAGACAAATGGCTTTATTTTTTTTTTTGAAGAGAGATTTTTTGCTATAGAGGACATGTGCTTACTGGAGAGACAGAGAGACAGAAAGCAAGAAATCACCTCCTGAGGGGATGGCCATGCCTCAATCACTTTTCCTCTGTTCTCCTCTTGGGATTTTGAGCATGCATGCACACGTGCCTGGGGTGAGTTTTAAGCCACCAGGTCTGGGACTTGAACTGCGGCTGCCTATATGGGAGTCCAGTGACTTAACCATTATGCCATCTGCTGTTCCCTAGACAAATGGCTTTCAATGGGCAGACCTAGAACAGATGGAAGTTGGGTGGGTGGATGTGCCTTAACTGGAGGAGACTGCATAAGGGCCAACCCCAAACGCAGAGGCCGGGCCCAGTCTCTCCCTGCAGCTCCCTTTGGGCATGTCCACCATCTTTCGTGTCTCCCACTGCTGCTGGATGAGGGGTTCTGTAACCCCAGTCCAGGGACCCAAAGCAGGGGTGAGGTCTTGTCACTCAACCACACACAGAGAGGCAGAACTGTTGATGTAAGAGAACAGGAGAATGTATCCGTGTGGCCACGCTAGGAGGACATGTAAGAATATCTGTGGTCAGTCAATTTACAGATGCTTTTAGGGGGACCCTCTGTGGCAGCTGGCTACCCACAGAAAAGCATAGATCAGGCTAAGGTTTTAGCTGGGAGGTACAACCGAGCGGTTAGTCTTTGAAACAAGAGCTTCAGTCTTAACTAAGGGGCACAGTCACATGATTCCTCAGGACAGGAGTTTGAGCTCGTGGCTGGGCAGAGCCTCCCTCATTGTCTCAGCTCCAGGTAGGCCCTTTGTCTCCTTGGAGTTCCTGTGAGAAATCGCAAGTATGAGGCTGAGGGAAAAACGGCTTTTGATTTTAACGAGATGGAGCCAGTCTGGCTAAGAAGGCCCCTGTTACTCCAGGTGTCCTGCTCAGTCCTCTGGGTCTGGGTCTGAAAGACCTTTGTCTTCACCTCTGGTGTGCCAGCCCTCGAACTGCCTCGAGTTTGGCTGTGGCTTGAGAGGCAGTGGCCAGGGTGAGCAGAACACGCTTTGCTTCCCAGGAACCTTCTTCACGCATGCAGCCCTGCAGAGCCTCCGCCTGTACCCCTTCACTGACGGATGGCACCCCTTTGTGGTGGCGGCCGAACTTCTTTACTTCCTCTTCCTCCTCTACTATATGGTGGTCCAGGTAAGGCTGGACTCAGGCCCAGGGGCAGCTGGTTCCTCTCCTTTCCCTCCCTCTTCCTTGGGAGCAGGGCCCGAGAAGGGAGGGGAGGGCTTTGCTTGGTTGTTTAGCCCTGCTCCTTTGGTCTTCCCAAGTTAAAAGTGGTTTCCTGGGGGCCAGCAGACAGCGTAGCGGTTACGTTGCTGGACTCCCACATGGTTGAATGCAGTTAGAGTCCTGGTGGCTTACAGCTCACCCCAGGCGCATGTGCGTGCATGCCCAAGATCCCAGGAGGAGAATGAAGGAGAAGGGACTGTGGTGTGGCCATCCTCCTATGGAAGTGATTTCTTGCTTTCTCTCTCACTGTCTCTCTCTCCCTCTCTGGCAAGTGCATGCGCCCTGTGGCAAAAACCTTAAAAAAAAAAAATTCTTCTGCCAATTTAGAAAACCTCATTTTCAAAAAATATCTCTTATTGAGGCAAAGCACATTTAATATAAAAGTTACCTTTTTTTTTTTGAGAGAGAGAGAGAGAGAGATTTTTGCTATAGGGTATATAATGCTCACTGGAGATACAGAGAGACAGAAAGTGAGAAATCACCCCCGAGGGGGGATGGCCATGCCACAGTCCCTTCTCCATTCTCCTCTTAGGATTTTGGGTATGCATGCACATGTGCTGGCATGAATTTTAAGCCACCAGGTCCAAGACTTGAACCACGGCCGACTATGTGGAAGTCTAGCAATGTAACCATTGCACCATCTACTGGCCCCACAAGTTGCCACCTTAGCAAGTACATGGACATCGTTGTCCAACCATTACTGCATCCACCTCCAGAACTTCTTTCATCTTGCATCACTAAAACCTCACCCGGTAACCAACTACTCCCCATTTCTCCCTAAAAAACAACTTTTATTACCAAATAAGTGTTAAATCACAGGCCATCTCTAAAGAGATTGCAAAGAGTAGAAATCCCACCCTTTTAGGTAGCCAGGCCAGTACAACCCATCTCATGCACATTCTTAAGATAAACGATAAAAAATTCCTCAAGAAAGAGGACTCCATGGCACTGTTTGTCACCTTAGCTTCCTAATTTCACTTGTAATGGTGGCCACCTGTTTGCTAATTGCCTTTATCAAAAGGAAAACGAAACTGTTTTTTGGACAGGAGTACAAGGGTAGTTTCGCTGCTTGGAGCTAGCAGCCTGTGAAAATTAGGCTCCTGCCCTGTCCGGGAACTGGGAGACTGAGACGAGTCTTTTTTTTTTTTCTTTGGAGAGGTTTTTGCTATGGTGCATGTGCACTGGCCAGAAAGACAGAGAGAGAGAGACAGAAAGCGAGAAATCACCCCCCAGGGGGAATGGCCACGCTACAGCCCCTTCTCCTTCATTCTCCTCTTGGGATCTTGGACACGCACGCACACGTGCCGGCCATGAGTTTAAGCCACTGGGTCCAGGACTAGAACCGTGGTGGACTACATGGGAGTCCAGCGACATAGCCATTACACCAACTGCTGTTCCCACTTAACTTTTTTAAAAGATATATCAACATCTCAAAGGGACAGAAAAATAAATCACAACACTCTCTTAAAAAATAAATGCTTTATAAAAAAAAAGTTAGGGCTTAGGGTTTTGCCCCTGAGAGAATTAAATTTTTTCTTATGCTGACACTTTTTCTTTACTCTGATGAACCCTGAGCTGGGATTAGAGATGGGAACAGATGGGGCTGTGTACAGGTTGGGGAGCCCCTCCCACCCCAGCACCAGGAAACTGGCCCCTACCAGGGTGCCCCTGGGTGGGGAGGGGAGCAGCGGTGGGGAGAGGCAGTGTCTATAGACCTTCCAGTCCTTTCCCAGGGCAAGCTCATGAGGAAGCAGAAGTGGGGCTATTTCTGCAGCAAGTGGAACCTTCTGGAGCTGGCCATCATTCTGGCCAGCTGGAGCGCCCTGGCGGTGTTTGTGAAGAGGGCCATCCTGGCAGAGCGTGACCTCCAGCGCTACCAGAGCCACAGGCAGGAGTAAGTGGCTGTCCTCCCACCCCAGCTACCTCCAGGGCCCTTCACCCTCTGCTGTCTGAGGCCCAGGGGATGGAGGGAGGTTTGGAAATCCTGTTGACCCACAGGGGATCAAGAGGCACTCCAGGTTTTGGAATCCTGTTGACCCACAGGGGATCAAGAGGCAATCCAGGTTTTGGGTTTTGTTTTTTTTTTTTTTTAAGATTTTTCTCCCTATAGGGTGTGTGTGCTCACTGGAGAGAGACAGAGAAAGATAGAGAAGGAAAATGAGAAATCACCTCCCTCAGGAGATAGAGAAGGAAAGTGAGAAATCACCTCCCTCAGCGGTACAGCCATGACACAATTTCTTCTCCTCCATTCTCTTCTTGGGATTTTGGGCACATACACATACATACATGTGCACGCACATGCCCAGTGTGATTTTCAAGCCACTGAACCCAGAACTTGAACTGTGGTCAACCAACTAGAAGTCCAACACCATAATCACTGTGCTACCTGCTGGGCTCTAAAAAATACTGTCTTAATGCCAAATGATTGCTTCACAGTCTCTTTAATTCAGCCGTGACTCCTCAGTAGAATCACCTAGAGAGAGAAACAAAACCCTGCTGTCTTGGCCATGACCTGGACTTAATAAACAAGGACGTCTGGAGATGGTGTCCCAACACCCACCCTGTTAACATTGCCCCGGGTTATTCTACGACGAAGCCAAGGCTGAGCGCCTGCTTCCATTAGAGCTGACTGCCTTCATAAAGGAGGGCTTAGCACTGTCAGCGTTTCCACATATGTGAGCAATGAGAAGGCATGGGAGAGGGTGCGATGTTTTGAAAGAGACAGGAAAAGGTGCTGCAGGAACCAAGGGGGAATGTACTTGCAAGTCATCTGCTCAGAGGGGAGGAAGATTCTAGAATGAGAAGGTTTAGTATAAGGATGGTTCTGACCTGGGGACCCTAGCCTCTATTTCTGCTCCCTTGGTGTGGCCCTGAGAGAGCGTCCCTGGAGGGTTTCTAAGACCCGGAGGACTGTACAGGGGAAGCTCTCGAGGCTGGAGGGCTTTGGGAAAGGCACTCTCTGCTGGGGCCTTAAAAGCTTCCCTTGTAAAGTGGGCTGTAAGCAGAACTCACATGCTTTTCCCTTAGCAAGATAAATGATGTCGCTGCATAACCCTCAAATGCTGATCAGAAAAAGAAAACTCCCGAGTCCACCGTCCCAGAGAACACCATGCTGGTTGTTCTGTTTTCGCCTTCTCTTTTTTAAATTTTGCTATAGGGTGCACAGGCTTGCGGGAGAGAGACAGAGAGAAGTGGGAGATCACCGCTTAGAGGTGATGGCCACACCGTGACTCCTCCTCCTCCTCCAGGGATCTTGGGTGTACATGTACATGCGCCCTGCATTTTTTCCGAAATGTCAGGTCTGAGACTTAAACCGTGCAGTGGGATGTAGTCACCTTAACCACAATGTCGCTGGCTGGCCCTGTCTGTTTTCTTAGAAAAAAAATACACATATAAACACACATAAACATACATATATGTATATATCATATGTATATGTCCATAATGATTTCTATATAATTCTTTATGTTTAACATACTTATATTACATTTCTATTATCTATAGAAGTGTATAATTTGGGGACTCAGACCACACTCAGTCATGTGGGAGTCTAACACGTTAACTGCCACATCACTAGCTGGCCTGGAATTGTTTTTTAGACAGGTTTTTGCTATGTTGCCCAGGTCAGTCTTGAGTTTACCGTCCTCCTGCATCAGCTTCCAAAGTTGCTAAGATCAAAGACTCATGCCAAAACTCCTGGCCTTTTCTTAAGACTGAATTGAAAGTGTAACGGTATGAGAGGAGAACAGAGGGTAGAGGGAGGGTGTGGTGGGTGGAGCCTGGACTTCAAAATCAGACATGCTTGGATTCAAACTGTCATTCTTCCAAGTGACACAAGTTGTGTCACTACTTATGTCGCTAGCTATGTGACCTCGTGCCAACTCTGCTATTATCTGTAAAATTGAAACATCAAGACTCCTCCTTTAAGTAGTCTTTTTTTTTTTTTTGGAGAGGTTTTTGCTATAGGGTGCGTGTGCTCGTCAGACAGAGAGACAGAGAGACAGAAAGCGAGAAATCACTCCCCAGGGGGGATGGCCACACCGCAGTCCCTTCTCCTCTATTCTCCTCTCAGGATCTTGGGCACGCACGCACACACGCCTGGC